ATACTAAATGTGGTTTCCCATCTAGGATAAACTGCATAGTGGCTTAATCAAGCATGTTATCATCAATAATATTCCATTTCTACTTTCATACATATGTATACATATATATATGTTTTTTATCCTATGTTTGACCCTCTGCCCTTTCCCACTCTCCCATTACACTATCTCTGCTATATACAGTTGTCTTCCAGAGGAGTTATTGAAAATGTGATACATGCAAGTAAAGGGAGAGGGGCCACGAGTTTCAATTATCAGCTCATAAAGTTTTTAACAATAGGGACCATAGATTCTATTCAGGGTTGGATTAAGGGAGGGTCTCAAAGAGCACACATCTTCAAGTCATTATGTTTCTCTCTTAAGAAGAGGCATAGGAACCAACAAAATTAACAGAAGAAAAATGGCTTCCACAAATGATAAAACAGGAAACTACTGTTTATTCTGCTTGAATTCTTGCAGTTGGGAGACTTTCTGATTTCTATGATACTGTCTCAGGGAGGGCCCTTCTAAATGTAGGCCCTTCTAAAAAAGGGTGACTGGAATAGTTGGATGGATTCCATGACTTTCCTGGTGGTTCTTTTTTGGCTCAGGCTAAGAGAGCAGCTGGTGAAACAGCTGGAACTCCCTCTGTGAGAGGTGCTGGAAATGCACTGCTAGTAGAAATCGCAAAGCCCGGGAAATAGAACACTGCTGGAATACCTACCGTGCCGTGGAGATGACCCCTTCGAACCTTTTCTTGTCTCAGGTTCTTGACTGGATCTATTGGGAATGGTCTACTGTGAGATACTGTCTCATTTTTTTTTCATGCAAGTGATTATTGAAAATAAAGTGTGGAATTTGTTTCTACTCACACCTTTGTCAGGCATACTTCTGTTTTATTAATCTGGAAAGAACTGCTTTCTAAACCCCCAAAATATTTTATTATCAAGTAATTTGGAAAGAAATCAACTAATCTCAAGAATGTTGTAAACAAATATTTTAATAAATAAATGAGTTAAGAAGTTAATGATGTACAACCTTTTAAATATATTTTTCTCTTATTAGTGTGTATGTGAATGCCCTGTAATAGGCAAAACACCCGTGTTAATTTAATTTAAAAAAGTGCATTGCCAAAAGAGCAGAGATATATTTTAGAGAAGTTGTCACTCAGTCTTTTCCATTTTATGGTGCTTATTACAGCCTGGGGCTTGTCCAAGTGGCTTTTCCACTCCTGCTATTTCTGATCATTATATTTCAGCCAGACTCAGAGATTGGAGCTTATGGTTGAAGTAGAGCCTGAGCTTAAACTATCAGCCTGAGCAG